ATAGTATTACTAAGCTTGTATTTTGTAAACAAGTAGAACTTCATTTGACGTGAATATGTTTGACTGAAAAATTTTTAAATGTCAGTCAGCGTTTGTTCTCAACAGATTATTTATTAGATGTGAATGTAATTCTTTGACCAATAAATTCAAACTGTTTTTTCCTTTTATGAAAATTAAAGTAATTTGCTTACTATGCAAGACTGGGTAATAGGATATGAAAGTTATCTATGCTTTAGTTTTTCTTACTTGTTGATTATTATTATGCTTACAAACAAAGTTTGAATTATTTACGTTGGTGATTTCTAATTGTTACCCGATTAACTATTGAATGTTTATAATAATATTACTCGTTGTTCAGTATGGTGATATCATGGATACTACTGATAAGTAAACACATGAGTAGACAGAGTATAATTGGAATGACCATGAAGTGTTCTTTCACATTAAGTGATATAAGTGTAGAATTTCCAATGTAGGAGACATTGTGATGAGGCGTGTGACTCTATCAATGGAATTCAATCACACCATTATACATGATACACTTCAACTGAAATTGATTGAAGAGTTAGCAGATAACTATTCATAACTGAATACTAATCCTTCACAGTAGTTGTACATAAGACAGTTTGCCTCTACTTGAAGGTAGACTACCAAATTAATGATTTTTGGAGTAAGATTTTGGTATTATTCTTTCCTCTATGGTGTTAACTATATACTAATAAGGACAACAGATTAAATCTTCATATTTTTCGAAGGTAACCGGCTTAAAGGGTTCTTCTTTTATGCATGATTTGATGAACAGCTGTCAGACATACGAGTTACTTTACGACGTTCCAGTTTGCAACTATAAACCAAATATTTAACGCCTTACTTTTAAGATGTATATACTCTGTTTGTTAAATCAGATTTTAAAAGACAAGTATATTGATCATTGACATGAATCTACAATTCAGGTCTGGAAGTACAATGAAGGTGAAATAACCCATGTAGGTTTGGGACATACATCACCAATAACAAGATTACGTATATCACCAGATCAAAAAAGCATTGTCACTGTCAGCGAAGATGGAGCTATTTACATCTGGGAAATGCCAATAATAACTGGAACAAGTTAGACTTTATCAAGAGGAAATAACTTGATGAACTATGAAGTACATCCACTACAGAACTCATTTTAGTTTATCATAACACACAGCTTAATTGCATTGCTCTGAATATTTATCTTTCTATTTATAAACATATCTATAATTTACAATAATAATACTACCCATGAACAACATTATAGGCAAATTCTATGCATATAGGAATTTTTAAAAAAATTAATTGCTAATTAAAATAAACAATTTAATGAATAAATCTTTGTGATTTTATTTAAAAGGGTGTACATTTATATGCAATATAACTAGTGTGGTGAGAAATTTGTTCGTAACCTTAAACAGAATTATTTGAGTTTAGTTAAATAGGGTCTACTGAGTGAAAGATTACCTATTTAGTATATACTTAACTGTTTATATTCGATAATTTTGATTATATTCTCGTGAAAAAGCTTGGATTAGATTGCCGAACGAAATGTCAGATTTAATTTAAATTAAATCGTTGAGACTTTACAAATACTTTCCTCCTTTTTAATGTTTTACATGAAATTGGCGCCCACTCACCGTGAAAGTATTCGTTCAAATTTAGATGAAAGTTCTTATATATACTGAATGATTCATTGAAATTGCTAGAAGCACAAGATTATTAATATTAATGGCTTTATTGAATATTATAATCTGGTATAATATAGAATTCTCAGCACGAATTATTTCAACAAGTTTTTTCACCAAAAAAAAATGAAAAAAAGGTTTAAAAAATCTGAGTCTGTACAAATTATCAAATTTGAGACATGCTTAGGAATACAGGTTATTTACCAGGTCAACTCTAACAGCCTATTCGTCACAAAGTAAATTTGCTAGGTAAGGTATTACAGAACTTTTATAAATTTGCTTGCGTGCATGGATTTTAATGTATTTACGTCTCTTTCTACCAGAAGATATACAAAGAGAAAGATATGAATGAATTGGATGGTTAGTATCTCATAAAATAACACCTGCCAAGAATTTGCAGGACTTAAGATGTTTATGCACAAGCATATTAATAGACTTCAAAAGAATCACCACACACATTGCGAACTGCCTTCAGCACTCTCCACAAAACAGCAAAGTATTTTCTCAAAAGTCCGGGAAAAAATAATGGAGAACAATATAGAATAATAGGTAATACGAAGGGATTTACAAATTGTAAGAGTAAATGGCGAGTAATCCCAGGAGCATGCAGCCTCTTTATGTAGTAAGTCAAACGGTAAACTTTTTTCCATAACAGCAAAACATGAGAAGACCAAGAAAGATCAGAGATAGAAGTAACGCCAAGATGTTTGACCTTCGACACTGTGTTTATCAAGGAGTCTCCAATGGCACAAGCATTACGGGATCCAAAAATAGGGTATAGGTTCTGTCCATGTCTCAAGCTAAAGTTAACAGCTTGACATTTAGATGGATTAAGTAAGAGACCATTACCAACAGACCACCATTCAATACGAAACAAAAACCGGTTCATTTCTATGGGATGTAAGGAGGTAGAAATTGGCATACATACAGTGAGGTCGTCCGCATATTTCACAAAAGTATTTTCTGTGGAAGACGGTAGATCATGCAGAAAAAAAGAAAAGAGCAGAGGTGAAAGAACAACTCCTTGTGGCACACCTACAGTAGAGACGTTGAAAATTTTCCTTCAAATACAGTGTACTGTTCCTTTCCAGAAAGGTAGGAACATAGCCAATTGGTTATCCAGCTGTCAGTGTTGACGCTGATCAGCTTGTTAAGTAAGAGGTGTCTTGGAATAGAATCAAAAGCAGAAGTAAAGTCCAGGAAAGCGCATCTAACAAACTTCTTACCCTTTTCCAACCCGAACACTATATTGTGATGCAGAACAGCAACGGCATTTAATGTGCTTCTTTTGCATTTGTAAGCAAACTGATATGGATCACAGTGCTCTTTTATTGCAGGTTGAAGTGGGTGTATCAGATACAAACTTCATACTGACACTATGGTGTGATCATTTTAGGTAAACAAATAGAAATTATTGTCAATAAGGAATTAAAACTTGAGTTTCATTCAAGAATGTTATGATGTAGAACGATGGACGATAAAAAAATACTATGTACATTCAAGACAAGAAAATGAAACCTAAAGGAATTGAAGAGAACTTGTATTACGACTATCAAAGCAATTGGATTCATTATTTCTGTACATAAATAGTTGACGTGAGATTATATATAACTAACGCTTCCATAATGAATAGGTTCAATTTATTTACACACAACACAAATAACCAGTCAGTCATAACTAACATAAATCATAATACTAAAATAGAAAGGAGCTGAGAAACAATAACTAGCCAGTTTTAAAGAAAATATTGATTTCATGTATGCTCTAAATGTAAATGCATACGTTCATGTAACATAAAACAAAGTATAGAGAATGAAATGTTACAATGATAGAATAAGATGTTATTCAGAGACACTGTTACATAAGAAATCAGTCATAATGTGTCGATAGTTATGAGACAAAACAGGTATGCGCTTTTTTCATAACATCATAATAAGACTATTTATATATTATTTTACTTGGATAGAAATATTAGATAATTCATAGGATTTAACATATTTAAATGTTGAAAATCAAAATAAATCAGTTTAACCAAGTGATTGATATACAATACATTATATTTCTAATAACAGAATCTTGAGAAAGTGTGAATGATTGTACACGAAATGTTAGCTTAATCATAATCAAAAAGTTGTAGCGAAATTTGGACGTAGCTCGAATAGAATCAAGGGCAGATTTGCATACATTATTGATTGCACTGATGTAAGCCTACATTTCTCAGTAGACTTCGCTCGATTTTATAAATCATACTGAAGTATGAATCCGACCACTAACTTGCAATGATCAAAGAGGTGTAGTTCAATAAATGTCATTCGAGATCATGAACTGATTAATTTTAGACCACCAGTGAAAACCTAACAGTAGTGGAAGGCTGTCTTGTCCTAGTATAGAACTCTTCAGTAGTGCGCACCCACGATCCCGCAAGCGGGACTCTGATCCAGGACTTGCGGTCACGCACAAACACGTGGCCTCTAAACCACTGGGCCAAGATCCAGTGTTTTTGTCTAACTTCATCCAATTTACGATATTACCCGACCAAATCAGCAATCTCCACAACTCCATACTGACAATAGATTTTATGACACATTATGGTACTTTTTAACACGTCAATGAATTTTATTACACCTGTCAAAGGTCATAAAATTAAGTAAACACACAGGTAGCTTATCCTATACTCGCAAATGTACCAAAAGTCTTAATTAAGGATACTAGTAGTGAGAACGTGTATGATGCTTGAAACAACAATTAAGAACCTTATCAGTTACATTAATTTCAAACCTCAGAGTAATATACGCAACTACTTATCTATAAGGTATATTAACAATGTTTAAATAACTGTTACGTGTTCAATATTTCTATCTGTAGAACGTAAGGATACAAATTGTCTATGAAATTGACTAAACGAGTCAAAGATTTTTTCTGAGTAAAAGTTTATAACTTTTCGAGTGAAAGTCTAATAGAGCAAAGTTTGTATGTGAATTTCTATGCAAATGGAAATGGAACTTTGGTTCTAGGTTTTTTCCCTCAGCCAATTTAAATAGACAATTTTCAGTATGGGGATTTGTAGAGATTGCAGTATCTTCACGAGTCTAAGCTCGATCATCATGACAAACCTAGAAGCACTGGACGGCCGTTTCGTCCTAGTATGCAACTACTCAGGACTGTGCATCCACAACTCCGCACGTGGGACTCAAACCCAGGACTAATAGTGGTCTAGCTTAGATCGACTCGTAAATTTAAATGTGAAGATGGCTTTCGTCTACTAAATGTTCTATATTTGAAAATCAACACAATAATTAATAAAAGTTTCTATATTTCATCATCAAAATTGATATTAAGTAAGGGAAAGGTATACAAATTAAATGAGAGTAAAATTTATTCATGCACTCACATGTAATTAATTAAACGTATATAGTATAGCAAATAAAAAAAACCCAGAAATAAACCACAGAAGAGACTATACTACTCACTAAAGAAATAGATAAGACGAAATAGCTAGAAGTTAAGAATTATTCAGATCCGAATAGTAATATCAATAATCATGCGATTGAAGATTGTTGGCCCACAGATCAAGATCAAAATAATTTCCTAATTCAATATCGTGTTACTACTAACTATCAAGAAATAGATTAAATCAAATATAAATATTGAATTTATTCACTAAAATTGTCATTATAATTACGATTGAATCTATTAATAATGCCCGGTTGTCTTTCCTTTCTTCTTCGTTCGGCAAAGATGATTTTATTTTAGATGATTTTTAATAAATGCAATTAATCCATTTGTTGAAGAGTCATGACTAGTGATCACTTCATTGGTTGTTAATTCTGGTTGAATTTTCTTGGCTAACACTTTTCCCAGTTCCACACTTTTGTGATAAATAAAAGAGAAAGGAAATCGTTTTCTCTTTTAATTGTATTATTTGGAATTCATTAGAAATCTATAAACACATATGATTATAGAAGTATAATAAATAAACTTTGAGGAAAATAATCATCCTGATTATCTAGAAGCAGTCAGGCATATTTGAAGTAATAACAATGTGTACAATGTTTACTAGTGAAAGTCACCCGGAGAAGACCGACGGGCTTCAATCAGTTGTAAGGAGTCTGAAGAAACCCAGTGCTTATGAGCGGGACGTTTTGAGAAGCTGCAAGCGGCTTTACTCGCCATTTTCATGGCGTCGTGCAGTTGCAACAAATGCTCATCTATACTTTTCGGTAGGATTGTAGCTAGCCTAGAAGTTAGCTCGGTTCGATACTTACTTGCAACAGAAGTTGCAACCAATTTACTAACATCAAGCCGTTGATGACGATCGATTCGTTGGCCACTGAAACGTAAGGTAAGATTGGCGCAGACCAGGGCATGGATCAGAGTCCAGATAGGTACTCCAAAGGGAGCAGCAGTTTTGCACACAACCACGTCAGCGGTAGCTGATCGCGATGTGATCAATCTGAGTCCAGGCTTGAGATACAGAGGGGGGAAGACGCCAGGTGGAACATCGGCGATGACTGTGTCGGAAGTTAGTGCTAGCCAGAAACAGTTTGTAGTCTGTGCACAGTTGCAGTAGATGGTCCTCGTTATCTGTCCTGCGACTAACAAGTCCCCGTCGGCCACCTAAACGACTCTCTTCTGTGCCTAGACGCCAGACCTGTGCATTCAAGTCTCTGGCTAGTACTGCAATACCTGTCGAATGCAATTTCTGGAAAACAGTTAACTGGTGATAGAATTCGTCCTTGATTACATCCGGGCTGCAATCTGTCGGGGCATAGGAGGAGATGACGAATAGACATCGTTTTTCACGCCGATTTCCTCTTACTTTGATGGAGCTTTGTAATTTAACACTACATAACCGACTGTTAATGGGAATCTAATCGATTAGTGCTACGTCAGCTCTAGCACTTAGTGCGACACCAATGCCGACGTCACCGGATAAGCGCACGTGGAACAAGCTTTTCGAGGCGACAGATGGAGAGCAAATTTGTAGTACTTCACCAGAGTTTTGAATACGGGTCTCAGATAGACAACAAACGTCGATATTAAGACTTTCTAAATACATAGCCAGCCCTATCTGTTATCTGATCTGAATTAGCGTGCGAACGTTGAAGGAAGTCAGTTTGAATGGTGTACGTGGTTTCAGAAAGACTGGTTCAGTATACGTATTCGGTGGAAGCATTCACTTTCGACCAGACAGTGACTGGAGATCGTTTAGATAGAACAGAGTTTCCACCATGGGTGAGCTGCTGCATAAGTTGAAAAATGGGAGTACATGAAATGGGAATAGAGGAGAGCGAACTCTCCTTACTCTCGACCGTACCAGTGCATTTGGGTAAGTATGCTTAAAAATATACATATCACATAAATCAACACAATATACATAAATCAAGCGATAACTTACCCCCATTGATCAAAGGAATTAATATTCCATATAATTCCCTGAACAAATATCTTATGTTCATACATAGCAATCAAAGCACCCAAAATATATGGTGTCAATTTGGTAAACACAATGGAATTGGATGGACGATTACCTTTGAAACTTTTATGCAATGCAAGTGAATTTAACATGTCACCAGTAACTCCAGCAGCAAACAATTCCTTATGAACTTCTTCTTTTGTCTTGCCAGTCATTAAAGCTTCAGTTTGAGCCAAAAAATTAGATAGGAGAATCTAAATTAGTAGATAGAATAAAGAATTATTTAGAAAATACTTAAGAATGTTAATAGGTGAATTAATTGATATAATACAATTATTGTCAATGATAAAGAGAGTTAAAACCTTAAATGAAATGAGACGTTTCAATAACTACAAGGAGGAATCAAACAAAACAGTTTGAAGACAGACAATTAATATGTATAGATCTTTCGAGGAGAGCATGTTAATTATAAAGTTTAAATATATGTTTGTTATATATCTGCATAGCTTACATGAATGTCCTTAATAGTTTTTAAAAAAAGTGGAATGCCTTAAAAACTACTGGTGATTCGATGAGATCAACATTAGTTTGATAGATAAGATTAATAATTCTAACGACCACTGTTCTACACAATGACTAGAGAAAACTTTCAGTAGCCTCACAAACAGTCCACAGGAATTTTAGAGGCATGTTGTATTCTATGTCCTGGATGATTTAATCATGAAGTTTTCATGTTCTTTTTCTGATATCAGAACACGAATAAACGTGTTATTAGGATTCTCGTACAACTGATAAGCCGCTTATTATATTGATACAGAATATGACTAGTTGTTGTCCATGATTGTGTGTGGACATTATTGAAAACAACGAATGCTTCACGATTCAGCTCAAAGAACAAATACCTTCAAAACCCTCATTCTGAACTACAAATATTTCTCATCATCTCAATAGAGAAGAAAAATATTAGCTGGTGAAAAAATGAGAAATTCTATAAAACTAATTACGAATTTTCGGGGGCATTGACTACTCCACACCCATCAGTTTTCTGGAAGAAGACGAAAACATTTAGAGAACTTAGTGTCAGTATCAGTGATTGATCGAAATTGCGAAAAAAATCTGCCCAATAAAAATAGTTGATCGAGAAACTTGAACTTGAAAATAAGTTATTACTCAACAGTAAAACGTATGGACGAATATGAAAACCATAAAGCCTTTAAGAAAATTTACACAAATTACTCTCGTCACAAAACCTTGTAGGACTGTTAAATTAAATATAGACATTTTGAGCCTGAAGATAACCCGCAATCTGTACAACATGGACACCTAAAGCATTTAATTTATCATATAAAGATACATAAGTCAATGACAAATATTTGATTTTCGAAAAAAATGTGATTTATTTGAGCGTTACACTTCGAACAATCGTGTTATATATTTTACTTATTAAAGTATTTATTTTACATGAAAAGTGAAAGAAATCTATTAAATAGGAAAAAATAATGACAATAATATTCGAAAAAGACCGTATAGTATAGTGTACTAATTTCTTAAATCGTTCTCTAGGACTAAATGTTTCTTGTTATAATTCTTAGAATGATTACATAAGCCAGATCTGAGATTGAAAATATATTGTACAACTAACTTTAAATTTCTTGAAACCAACTTTGGCACTGATGTTGCGAACATTCTGTTTGACATGAACCGAAAGTTTTTATTAATTTTGAATGGCATTTCAAAGTGAATAAATTTTGAACTTAGTTGAATTAATGGACTTTTTGTACAGAAAGGCAAAACTGCTTCGATGTACAAAAAGCTAGGGGTGGGGAAACCAAGAAGTGACATCAGTCCATGAAGTCATTGACTGTTGACTCAAGTCAAGTTGGTAGATGCAGTCTACTCGATTGAAGTATGTGCGATAACAGTGATTAGTGGTTGGAGACGTTGGGTGACATGATACAGATCTAGCCATTCCGTATATTCGTTTAGACCAGGAATTCCAGTATTCATTCCTACACAAAGTCTTTTTTCAGTGATTGGTCTTGCTGATTATCAATGCAACTATATTATATGGACTCATTTACTGTCTATTTTGTTAATATTTTTTGTTGTCTTGATGTGATATGATAACTTATGCTAATGTATATTTGCTCCGGATTCTACGTTGCTTATGACTTACTGATAGAATATATTCTGAACAAGTTTTAACTGTTAAATATTTGTGAAATGGAGATGTTACTTAAATTTTTTAACTGAAAAAAATGCAAACAAGGAATTCAGTTATTGAGGGACCGAATGCCTAATCCATTGAAACGCAATTTTAAGGACAGACAGCCATTATGATGTGAACAGATTTTGTTAAAGGAATGTATTACTAATTTAAAGTAGGTTTGAAAGATACAAGTGTTTTGTCAGCGAATATTTTTAAAGTTGTTATGAATGCAATAAAATTTACAACCACGAAATTTTCTCACTGTAGGTATGGGATTATCAATACTAGTTTTATTCTGTGACAGACTATTGTATGCTAAGGCACTCAATTTGCATCATGTACATTTGATAGCCACTTACCTTGCAGAACAAGATTAATTATAACAAGAGGAAGATAACAAATATTCAAAACTACCATAGAAGGTTTGACCATAAGCCCTGAACTTTCCTGTAATCGGATGGATCATTGTACAGAATGTGGACTACTAAAATACGGTTGAAGAGGATGTATAACTAGTTGATTAGGGGTATATAGAAAAAAAAAGCGACCGCTTTGTGATAAATATACGTGTTTTGTTATTTTCGTAAACCTCAAGGAATTTATTGACGTGTACTTATTGCTAACTCACATTTTATAGTTTCAGGAATGAAGTGTCTAGCCATTCCCACACTACCTTTTGTTGATGGTTTCAAACAAATTAGCTGGAACTGATTCCAGAAAAATTATTTTAGAGGAACTCATATAACTGTAAATATCAGCAGCATGTATAAATACGACACTAACCTCATGATGTAAGCCACCTTGAACTGGATTGTGTGTATGAACTGGTATCAAGAAATCACATGGGATTAAGCGTGTGCCTTGATGGATAAGTTGATAAAATGCATGTTGACCATTTGTTCCTGGTTCACCCCAAACTATGGGACCAGTAGAATAATCAACTTCTTTGCCATCACGTCTAACAAACTTCCCATTTGATTCCATATCACCTTGTTGAAAATATGCAGCAAAGCGTGACATATATTGATCATATGGTAGAATTGCTTGAGTTTCTGCGCCATAAATATTGATATACATAACACCTAACACAGCTAAGATGACGGGAAGCTGTACGGTAAGATATGATATTTATTAGTTTGTAAAACTACTTCTATAGTTAGACATAAAAAAAGATACTATAAATTGTAAATAAACACAGGAATCCAGAAAACAACATGTTTGATTTTAATCAGCAAGCCATATCAAGTCAAAATGAACATGAAGAGATTGGATGGTATAAAAACTGAAAGCCGGGATATGTCTAAATGGTCTGTTAACTTTAAAAATTCAAAAACCACGAAGAGGATAATAACAACCTGTAAATCATTTTCAGAAGATTCAACGTACTCTTATAGGACAAAAATATACATTTTCAAGGACCAAGTTAAAGAAGGATAAACAAAATTCGAAAACATACAAATATAAATGAAGCCAGTAGTTTGTTCGTCGAATTGTTGACAGGTAATCAGTGTTATGTCCAATAGCTGTTGACTAAGGCCTAATCGTTTACCTTTTAACGAAATCTACTTCAGCAAATATTGGTGATACCGAAAGATTTACATTCTTGTCCTTGTTAGCAAATTGTTAACACCATAGAGGAAAGAATAATACCAAAATCTTACACAGAGAATCATTAATTTGGTAGTCTAGCTCCAAGTAGAGGTAAATTGTCTTATGTACAACTACTGTGAAGGATTAGTATTCAGTTATGAATAGTTATCTGCTAACTCTTCAATCAATTTCAGTTGAAGTGTATCATGTATAATGGTGTGATTGAATTCCATTGATAGAGTCACACGCCTCATCACAATGTCTTCTACATTGGAAATTCAACACTAATGTATTTACTTATCAGTAGTATTCATGATATTTTTACTTTGGCAGGTGATATCTGCTATAGTAAAAAACAAGTAATGTTATGATAGACACTAATTTTAGTTTCATAACTCACGTTGATTCAAGTCATAGTATCTCTGGTCATCATACATTAAACGTCTTATATTGATTTAAATTATGACCTCATCAACAAAATATCTGGCAGTGTAGTTTACAAACTATTGAAACATCTACTAATGATATGGATAGGTATTCGAAACGAAAATAAGAATAATCTCTTAGTTGTTGGTATCTATTTGAATATAAGTTTAGTGAATTACTATTGAATTTTTGATAATAAAATACCTAATCTATGCATTTCTATAATCACACATTAACAAAAATTGACGAATAATTGGATAAAATAATAATAAATATCAGATTAAACATACTGATTTGCCAAGTTTACTGACCAAAATTAAATATATGAAATATATGTTGACAATTTGTATAATATGATTAACAGTTTGTAAATGGCATAGTGGTTAACTAACAATTATTTTGTTAAATTAAACTTAAACTATATTTATATCTTTTTAACTGTTAACACAGTGTGTCAATATCAGAAGCCACTATTATTCACATTCGTATTGAAGATTAAGTTAATGAAGTTTGGAATAAATTGAATGGTTTAAAGTTAGTAATATAAGAGGATGATAAGTGGATTTGAATGAATGCTCACATAACACATTATTGGGGTGTGGCCCCTTAAGAAAACCGCCGGCTTCGGTTTGGGCATCCGGGTAGTATTCCGGACCTCACACAAACCGAATAAAGTGTGGCATATATATATTTGGTACCTCCTTGTACCAACGTTTATATGTTTAAATAAATAAATAAACATTATTAAAACACATTAGCTCATTTTAATTCTGACATACATTTTTTAATACGTGAACACGAAGTTTATGAATTGATTTCCTTGTTTCTTCGTATTAGCGTTATTAGAAAAATAAAGTTTGGAGAAGTTAAATATTCAAATGTAATCTGAAACTGAATTCTTTCTTAATGCACTGGATTCTTTAGTGTGAAAGGAGAGTTTTAATAGAATTTAATAACTCATCACTTTCAATAAAGCAATATTTCTTCACTAACGAAAATTGTACTCATCAGCTGGTAGATTATTTAAACTAACGTCCCAAATCAAAGTTCTAACAATATTAACACCGTGACCAAGGAACACACTGCTACGGGAATTGAAAGCAGACATCAAAAGAATAAACAGAATCTGGAAACAACTGGGAAGGATTGTCCAGGACAAAGTTCGATGGAGAATGCTGGTGGGCGGCCAATGTTCCTCCACGAGAGGTAATAGGCGTAAGGAAGATTATCTATCAAAGATGATCCATTAACAACAATCACACACTAAAACATGTATGTTCTTATAACGCTTTGATACCAATTTCGGCTGATAAAAATGAAACAATGAAACAATCGGTGAAAATTTTGCGTAAAAGAAGTGATGTGGAATTTAGTTTTAAAGATGGCCATCCTTATATTTGAACTTTGAAGTACTATTTATTTGATTGGTTTTGTGCAATGCTTTTTTGACCACTTCTTAATCCTACACCAAAATAATAGTTGCACCGATGACATGGTCGTTTGTTGACAAGTGAATTTCAAGAAAAATGTCTTGTTTCTTTAAGAGCGACTACATTTAGTCGGGGGTTATTTTCTGTTTATTTTACATGACTATAGAATATAGCAACGGTTCTATAAACATAGATATTGTAAATTATATAGTTTTAAACTGACTTCAATACGTTCATTACAAATTTGCTCTCATATTTGTCCTTATTATTCAGGAATATCAGATCACATATAATTTATAAATTTCTACTCGGAGTAATGATAATTTAGAGCAGTATCAATAAAGAAGTTTATAACATAGCAACTTACGTTTTTATGCAATGGCGTCTCTTTGAAATGTTTATCCATCTCATGAGCTCCTTCCAATAATTTAATGAAATTCTCCATACCTTAGTAGATAAAGAAAGTCTATACTACTATAAATGCGAACGTTATAAGCACAGATGTTGATTGTTAGTGAATAAACGAGACAAAAATAAAAAGTAATGGGTCAAGGCGATTTATCAGATGAACATTCAGTTTACTGATAGAGATTAATAAAATAAATGTCTCCAAAAAAAGTTAACAGTCACTAGGACTTTCTTGTATAGTTTGGTTGATAATGGAGAAAACGGTGATGAGTATGGTCACTTATCTACAACTTTTAAAATATATAACAGTCTAAATTAACTCTATGTAAGGACTATTTTGGTTTAACATGGCAAATCGTACATGAAATGTTTTATTTGAGAATAAATTCTTGTACTCTACTGATAGCATAAGAAAAATTAATTTTACACTGAAAGTGTTTGCACCATTAAATCACCATTTCTCACAAAAAGATACACGATATTAGTTTAATAACCAAGCGGATTATAAATTACAACTACATGACAACTTACCTACGTAAAGAGCTATAGATAAACCTATGGCTGACCATAATGAGTAACGACCTCCAACCCACTACAACAATTAGAAGAGGTAAACAGAAATTTCAGTTCATTCATAGAAATATGGAGGGATACAAGTTGCGACGAAGGAATTTTTCAAAGTGAAGAATGTTCACATAGATTATTTTGGAGGTAACTGAGAGTATCTAATTTACTCGTATCTATAATTTTAAGACAATTAAATGGGACTAGGATACAACTAGTCTGAGAAATCAAAGCAGGTTTCAGACCTGATTAAAAAGTTAGTGACCAAATAGTTACCCTTAGATATGTTTTTGGACACAGATATGTATACCGAGCCTCAACTGTTGTCGCGCTCTCCAAAATAAAGACGACACTTGATCCCACCGTCAGATAGGCTTTGAAGAAATTTTTATCATTGAAAGGCGTTTGAAAGGATATAAACAGTTTTTTGCTCAATTCAGAGTTTATGGATACATGTCACTTTAACTGGCTCTGATCAGAAAGATTGAAAATAACAACTGGACTGGGCAACTTTGGGGAACAATAAAGAAACAGAAACGCACATTTCACAAAGAACCAAAGTCTAATTTAGTACACAGACCTGACTACTATAAATATATATATATATATATATCGACGGCTTAAACTATCGAGATTACAGAAATACAGAAATAAGCAAGTTACTTAAGAAATTTTCAGGATAATATTCATAGTAATTTGAGGCAGACTTACATCCCAAAACTCAAACATGTTTTCTGGCGCTATGCCGAATTTACAGACTTCTGTTGCATTAGTTGACAAGGCGACAAAGTGCTTGGCCACGTGAGAAACCTGTGAAAGAGGGTAAAATGTAAACAACTTGCATTACTATTTGTAATTACCATATGATGCCACTTTTAAGTATTATGTTACATCAAATCTATGAAGTTTTATACTTAATGAACATCAGATAAAGAATCACCTAACAGCAAAAACTGATTACTTGAAGAGGAAATTTAACGGAGAATCCTAATACATTACCGACTGTTACCTACATTTTTCGCATGTCCTAAGAACCATTCTTTGGCAGAGTTAGCATTGGTCATCGTTTCAATGGTAGTAAAGGTCTAAAAAAGAAAAGTGTTTAGTTAGACCAGTTATACAAGCCATAAAATTAAAATAAAAGCGTGATGATCCAAGATGCATGTAAGACAACATCCAGATCGGAACATAAACAAAAAACGAAACTTGAGTTCTAGCCATAGATGATCTTATGAAGGGAAATAGAATCGCAAACATGATCTTATAAGTTATTAGAAAGTTAGTCGGTTGTCATTAACGTAAACCCCAGTACAAATATATGTTGCCTCAATTCGAAATACAACATTAGCGAAGGAATCGAAATGATGCAGCAGCAAACACACTGAAGACTGGGAGTGCGGGTCAAAGGAAAGTAATGGAAAAAGTATGTATGAAGAAATACGACCTATCTTACATGGATCCGTGTCATTGTGACCTAACGTGGAGCGTGTTACTCCTCTCCAGCCAATGAGCGCAGATATCACACAGACTTTAACCAGGCAGTTTGCATCTATTAACATGACAAACTAACCACCAATGACTACATGAACTGATATAGCATTTTGGGTTGTTCGCCATTAGCTATTTTTTTCAATCTACTTCCACACTGGCCCACAACGCGCATCGAGGTAGGCGTTGATTCGGTATGCATCACATATGCTCTAAACGCCTTGGTTGATGAAGATTTTCCACTTTTGGCTAAGCTGTTGGAAAACAAGTAAAACGTTTCATAATAATATTTTAAAATTATATACCGAGTTTCTGACACTCAGAGAATGCCTACCTTGGAGGCGATGATAAACAGTACTGTCTCTGAATTTACTTTCTTTAATGTCTCCGCAATGTGTGTTCCATCTATGTTTGAAACGAAGTGTACCCGAATATGTGATGCATAAGGTTTCAAGCATTCTGTAACCATAACTGGACCCTGAAAAATCAAATTAAATGAAACGAAAATATCATACTGTATGGCTTTTACAAATCATTTAACTTACTAAAACCGAAGTAAAATACCTAACTACTTGATATTGTACAGATAGGCACGAGGCCCTCCAAATGTGCTAGAGTGAATGTTACTACACACTCCTGACAACTAGATAAAGAAAAATAATTTCTGGTTAAGGTTATGTGGTCAGTTAACCATCCTAGTTGCACCTTCACAACAGAAAACCGATGAAAATTCCAAATACAGAGTGGTAACTACGTTTGACAAGTATTCAAAAACAAAGAATATTTGAGCGAACAATTTTCGATAACTTCATTATTAGGCTCTACAGTTTTAAGTCATAATTATTGTGATATTTTACGAAGGTCAAAATAAGGCATGCATTAATCAGTTTGACAATGTCATATGTTAAAAATGGAGGACGTGTGCATCTCTTATGATATAAATACTTCAAAATTGTGTTATTTGTAAATTAGCGAGGTCATTTAATAAGGGTCAGAATGATTTGTAATGAAGTGTCAAGTTATGGTCAACATAACAGTAATATAACGAAATAAAAAAAATCATGTGAATAAATTACATAGTACGAGGATTTCGTCTTGTCAATCGAGGTAATAATATCAATAATAATAACACCATATAAATATATGTAATAAGGTGTTTTCAAGGCAATTACGACAAAAAGGAATTCGTGTGAACCAGAATAGATGAATGTGAATATTTTAAAAGATGTAAACACAAAAGGAAGTAGGAAGAGGTTTATAATACCCAGTTTAGGTATCCGGTGATCCAGTCGTGGATCAAAATAAACATAGAGCCTTAATATACTTCTGTACACATAAGTTCATTTTCCTGGAGTTGATCCAGATGGCACTAGCTACGTAGAGTAGCCATGATCTAGCTCGTTTGAAACTTGGTATAAAACAGAGGAAGCTTCATCTATTTTAATATGTTCACCATCTACCAATTGAGGAAGAATGGCGCCGTTAATTTATCTAGATTACATGTAACTTGGAGGCGCGAAATGTCCTATCAGCAGATATTTTGAGTCGACATGATAGAATATCACCAGCCATGTCCCCTTTAAAGTCCAGTTTCAGATAAAGGGGATTTTTAATGACCGTGTCAAAGCCCCCTCCTTTTTATTACCCACTAATAGAAAAATTTCTGATGTATTTATCTGGATAGCTGTTATTCCGTAATGTGTTCTTCAGATTATCTAGTTCGCTATCTGCATTATCCTCAGAACATAATAGTTTAGTTCTGCGGCTGAGTCATTTAACCAAATTCATTTTGTTATGAAGGGGTGTAAAGCTATGAAAATGGGTATACACCTGCCCATGTATTCTTTCCAAATACATCTCTTTTTGTAGAACCGTCTACCATTCTAAAGAGTAAGACATCAAAAATAGCTACACCATTGTCGTTTTCCTCTTCCTGGTGAACTTAATAGCTGAGTGGACAATATCGAAACAGTTCAACAGCTCTTGTTTGTCAATACTTCAACAATTACCATGAAAAAACCTCTTTTATTACATATTATATTCACACAATGTTATTGATATTATTATCTCGATTGACAAGACGAAATCCTCCTACTATGTAATTTATTCACATGATTTTTTTTATTTCGTTATATTACTGTTATGTTGACCATAACTTGACACTTCATTACAAATCAGAGGGGGTTTTGTGGAGGATTTAGTATTTTCACAGTTGAAATCATGAGTCAATCGAAGCTAGACCACCATCGAAAACCTGGAAGCACTGGACGGCCGTTTCGTCCTATTATGGGACTCCTCAGCAGTGCGCATCCTTTGATCTATAATCACATGCTCACTAGTGACTGACTTCAAGAGATATTTCCTTGAGTTCTAGTGGGAAGCAGTAGCCAGTGGAGTTCTACCAGGTCTGTTGTAGAGATATCATTTCACTGAAGACAATTGGTGAACGGTCGCTCAAAATCGTGGATTGGTTGAAGTTAGACATTAACACCATTGGATGCCGGCTCAGTGGTCTATCGGTTAAGGGCTTCGGCTCGAGACTGGTAGGTCCTGGGTTCGAATCTCGCGGGTGCGGGATCGTGGATGCGCACTGCTGAGGAGTCCCATAATAGGACGAAACGGCCGTCCAGTGCTTCCAGGTTTTCGATGGTGGTCTAGCTTCAATTGACTCATGACTTCATTACAAATTATTCTGACCCTTATTAAATGACCTCGCTAATTTACAAATAACACAATTTTGAAGTATTTATATCATAAGAGATGCACACGTCCTCCATTTTTAACATATGACATTGTCAAACTGATTAATGCATGCCTTATTTTGACCTTCGTAAAATATCACAATAATTATGACTTAAAACTGTAGAGCCTAATGATGAAGTTATCGAAAATTGTTCGCTCAAATATTCTTTGTTTTTGAATAAACAATTTGTGAATGGTATAAATAAGTTAATTTGATAATGGTTCGGTGTGACACATACGTATAGTAGCATAATGTTGGCAATATTTATTTGTTTAAACACATAAATATTGGTACAAAAAAGCACCAGATAAATATGCGTCTCACAAATCTCATTCGATTTGTGTGAGGGCTGTGATACTACCCAGGTGCCCAGATTGTAGCAGGTGGTTTGCTTAGGGGACCACACCCGGAGTCTTTGACCTAAAGGTCTGATCCACAAGGCAGTGGAGCATCGTAAGGAGATGCAGTCTCATGGTAGCCGGTGACCAACAATAGGTTCATACGCCATTTGTTCCATCAGGAAACTGGAGCCCATGTGTACCATTGGTTTATAATCAGGGTTTTCCAACTCCCCTAGGTGGACCCTCCATGTTCACCAACCCGGTTAAAGCGCCAGACGTTCGCTTTCCGTCCTCTCAATTTCGTAAACAATACTCCGCCACGAGAAGGCAGTGAGTAGGATTTCCCTGGCAGAGGCTATATACGCGTGGTCATGTGATAGCATTTCGAGAGGGAGAGCGGACTCTCCCCACTCTCCGCCGTACCAGGGCATTTGAGGGCGATGAATCCTAGTTCGCTGATAAGTTATTTAGGGCATTACACATAGCTAACTAGACCATGTGGAGCACTTATGTAAAGCAAAGAACTCTTCAGGTAACCGTAAATTATGCACCTGAACTAATGATAGGGATTGAAATAGTTGAGTGTGTTAACCGCTTCACTTATATTGGGAGCTTTATCAGCTCTTGTGGTCTGGTGTGTGACGAAATCTCAGCACAGATACATAAGGCTTGACTAGCTTTTGCCAACTTGCATCCTTTATGGCGTAGGCGAGATATCCGTCTAGCAACCAAAAGACGGGATTACTGTGCACCAGTTTGTTCCGTCCTACTTTATGGCAGTGAAACATAGCCGGTAAGAGTAGAAGATATTCTTAAGTTACTAGTATTCGATCAAAGGTGTCTTCGAAGCATTGCTCGTATATCCTGCGACCACTAAGTAATGCAGTCGTTAGGAAACGGGTAATAGGTAAGGATGACAAAATCACTCTTTGTGTTCTCCCATATCCTAGTCTTTTGAATTCTTCATGTCTCTATCTTTTTTTCTTTCCAAATATGTTTCACTGGATTACACTCCTTGAATAACATCTTCAAATCCTAGTCTTTCAGATTACTGCTTAGACTCTTACTACTTCTACCACTGCATCTCTGTGTTAATGTGATACAGTAACTCGAACTGATGTACATACGTACGAAGTTCTACGTCGTGACTGACTGACTAACTGACAAAGTGAACCGCTGTGTAGTATATATGCTTTTTGGGTAGCAAAGAGAAATTTCGCCTACGCTACAAGTATTTATTTTATTTATTTAAACACATAAATATTGGTACAAAAAAGCACCAGATAAATATGCGTCTCACAAATCTCATTCGATTTGTGTGAGGGCTGTGATACTACCCAGGTGCCCAGACTGTAGCAGGTGGTTTGCTTAGGGGACCACACCCGGAGTCTTTGACCTAAAGGTCTAGTCCAAAAGGCAGTGGAGCATTGTGAGGAGATGCAGTCTCATGGTAGCCGGTGACCAACAATAGGTTCATACGCCATTCGTTCCATCAGGATACTGAAGCCCATGTGCACTATTGGTTTGGAATCAGGGTTTTCCAACTCCCCTAGGTGGACCCTCCATGTTCACCAACCCGGTTAAAGCGCCAGACATTCGCTTTCCGTCCTCTCAATTTCGTAAACAATACTCCGCCACGAGAAGGCAGTGAGTAGGATTTCCCTGGCAGAGGCTATATACGCGTGGTCATGTGATAGCATTTCGAGAGGGAGAGCGGACTCTCCCCACTCTCGGCCGTACCAGGGCATTTGGGGGCACGCTACAAGTAGCGCAAGCTGATAAACGTTTGGTGGGTTTTCTGATTCTGTGCCAAGATTTCATTGGGATGATGAGAGCTCCAAGATAAATGGACTGATCAACACATTTAACTACTTCACTCATAATTATCAGTCTAGGGGGTGATTCAGATTAGTCCTGAAGCATTTTGAATAGAAACCCATTCCACACAAGCTAGCATTGTTCTTTGAGACGATCAAAAGACCAAGTTTTGTCAGTATCTTTGCCAAATAAGATTACACCATTTGCGCATATATATCTGGTGTCCCTCTTCTAAATCAATAAGCCGATCGCCTCGTAGGAAACTTGGTAATCACTCGGTTAATTTCACTGATGAAACTAGACCACCAAACCTACAGATCTCTATGTTCAGATCATTGGGTTTTCCTGCTATCCATCGTTTTAGATTAATTATTGATCTTTACTAACTTTTCAATTTTAGGTCTTGATAAATATCACTGCTTGGACATCTTTTTAAGCATATTCAACACGAACTATTTCTTTACGATCGATAAGGTGTTTAGCTAATTTTTCCATGGATAAATCCTTGATCTTTTCACTCTCTAATTTATATTTGAGTGGCACATATATGCATCGACTCAAGTTGTCATGCCTCGTCCATTAAAGCGCATAGAAATGCGTGCTCTCACAATAGCATGATTGCAATCCAAACATATACTTAAGTAGAAACAAAAGTCTTCTATACACTCTCTCTAGTGGTAGCTAATGCAGATGTGATCTATTTGCATTCATAGATGTGTCAATGGTAGGGTCGCCAGGTTAGATGGTGTCTCTCCTTATGCTTAAAGTTTGTACTTACCATAAAAAATCGACTGTTTGAACAGGATTGCAGTAGATGGTCGCCGTTATCTGCTCATTAGGCTGAGATACCACCTGAGACCCATCTAAGTGTTTTCAAAGTTTACCTAGTCCACCGACTTAAACATTAAGATAGCCCGCCACGACTAATACGTTTGAGCCCCTAGGTTTCTAAAGATCATGAAGTTTCTTAATGAGACTTTTAGGATTCTAAAATATTGTAGGGATGATGGTTTTATGAAGCAATACAGAATAATAATAAGTCACATCAAAATATTAAACTACTGTAAGTATGAGGACAGTTACTTAGTGTTCTGTAGGCTAATTGTTATACTTTTTAGTCTGTACTAAAGGGAAACATTGTTACCAATCCACATAACTTAGATTTATCAGCAAAGCCCACAATGAACTCGCTATAGATGAGAACAGATAGAAATACTCCCGTCTAGTGACCAGCAAAAAGTAGAATAATAAGGTGGGGTATGTTTATTGATGCATTGATCACATCTTCACCCTCCGCCAAATGTTAGAACACCGTCATACTTATCGCAGGCCAACAATCGTAGTGTTTCTTGATATCACGGCTGCCTTCGATTCGTTGGACAGGACTGTTCTCTGGGATTGTCTATTGAAGAAGGGTGTGCCTGAGAAGTTCATTAACATCTTAAAAGCCCTGTATACGAACACCTCAGGCAGAGTGAGGGCATACAACCACCTTTCTCCCTTGTTCCATTCGAGCAGTGGGGTTAGGCAGGGTTGCCCGATCTCCCCATTCCTCTTCAACTTTGCCATCGACGACATCCTAGAAACAGCTCTGATGGATGTAAGTAATGGCGGTGTGGATATGTTGCCTGGAGAACGACTTCTCGACCTCGAGTATGCGGATGATATTGTCTTACTGTGCGATAATGCCCAAGGCATGCAATCAGCACTTAATCAGTTGGCAATCAGTGTCCGCAGGTACGGCATGTGCTTTGCACCCTCCAAGTGCAAAGTACTTCTACAAGACTGGCAGGATTCTCATCCTGTACTCACCCTGGATGGTGAGGAGATCGAAGTAGTTGAGAAGTTCGTGTATCTAGGTAGCTATATAAGTGCTGGTGGTGGCGTGAGTGATGAGATTGATGCACGTTTAATGAAAGCCAGAGCGGCTTATGCCAATCTGGGCCATCTTTGGCGCCTTCGTGATGTTAGTCTGGCTGTAAAAGGTCGGATCTACAACGCGTCGGTGAGAGCAGTTTTGCTCTATGCTTGTGAAACCTGGCCTCTCCGAGTTGAGGATGTTAGACGTCTCTCTGTGTTCGATCATCGTTGTCTCCGAAGAATTGCTGACATCCAGTGGCAACACCATGTTAGTAATGCAGAGGTTAGGCATCGTGTGTTCGGGCGCAGAGACGATAATTCAATTGGTGTCACCATCTTGAAACACCGACTTCGGTGGCTCGGACATGTTTTACGAATGTCGTCCCAGAGACTTTCGCGTCGTGCATTATTTGCCGACCCTGGGACTGGTTGGAGAAAGCGGAGAGGAGATCAGTGTATGACATGGTGTCGTGGCATGAAAGAGAGCTGCAAAGGGCTAGCTTCCGTTGGTCCTTCACGACTCCCTGGTTGGGGTCCGAGAGATAGTGCAACACAGTGGCTAGAGACGTTATCGGATATGGCTCAGAATAGAAGCCAGTGGCGATCCTGCTGCAACCTTCTTTTACTTTCTACATAAAGAATGGTTCTAACTTTCCTAACTGAAAGAATCTTCTGGTTGTACATTTCAGCCCGCCTTATCTTTTCATCCTTTATCTACCTACTTTCATTATTTTGTGTGGCGCATATGTACCTGGTGCCCTTTTGTACCAATATATATGTGTTTAAATAAATAAATAAATAAATGTTTATTTGTCCGACAGAAGGCTTTTACTCCTGGTTTTGGTCGGCCAATATTGAGTGTTAACTTTGGGAGCAGACTCCTTAGAATACAGGTATTGAAAGTAACTAAAACACTGATGCTTATTCTCCAGAAGTCTAGAACTACCATGAATCTAACTTATATTCTATGTTTCAGACTGAACAAATTTTGATGGAAGTCTGGATTTACTTTTAAGTGTGCCTTTCATATAAGGACGTATGCAGGTGGAAAGCAGTATAGCTGAGTTATCAACGCCAAAGAAAAGGACCAGAGCACATACCTCTAAACAACGTTCGTTAAGAAAGGTTGAAATGAAAAGTGTTTTTAGGAATTCGCTGAATTATTTCGTGTTCTGGTACAAAGGGTAAATGATTCAGAGGACTAGGGAAAAATAGAAGAGAATTATGTTGCAAGAATAGTACATTCTGAGGCCAAGATACTAAATGATTAACTGAGACAATACCACAGGTCATTACATACTCAATTACCCTAGATGAATCTATCGCTTTTTGACTGATAACCTGTGTTGATCCCTGTTATCAACCGTTAATACACAAACCAGTATATCTAATATCCTTCAATTATACTAGGTGTTTTACGAAAAATTAGAAGAAATGGTGGGACTGAATAACTGCTAGTATTCACCGTATATTTCAGGTATATATATATATATATGTATATATATATATATATATAATATTATATGACGGATAACGTTATTTGGAAACACTGTAGCCAGTATTAACCTAACTTAAATATTTTCCGGTTAGTTAAATAGGATTGTTACCGCAAATGCATAAAGCCTAGTCCCATGGCTTTCACTGTTGAAGTAATTATATGTAAGTAAATGGCTACATATAATAAAATTTCATAGTACTACTGAGAATGCCACATCTTATCATCCTGGAGCTTGCACTGTCCAATCGCACAGTACCATCATCGCCGAATTTTAAGAACAGTTTCATGTTAACGCACTGTAATTCATTTCGCACCTTAAGATTCGTACTACTGCTACCCAACTCTAGATTGACAACTATGGTTCTGTAGAGCAATTTTCACCTGCAATACTGTAGTTTTATGGTCTCACATTAGAAGATAATTTAGTAATAGTCCATAATCAAAAGTCTTAAAATAGACAAAAGAAAAAGGACATCACAAGAAGAAAAGTAGATACAAATGATGAAAATACAAATCTAGGGGAAGCGTCACTTTACGGTGGCCTTTTCTTTTCACCTCCCTTTCTGCTTCATTAAAATGTATTCACTTTCCCATTTATTTCTACATTACCTTACTCAGCTGAGTATGCAAAGCAATTACGTTCGTTTAAGTGTGATAAGATTATTCGACGTCTTTACAAGTAGATATTATTAGCATTTCTACGCTGCCAGGGACTATTATCACGAAGCTTTAAAAAGAAAAGAACGCGGTTCTTAATATTTAATGTACTTAACGCAACGGTACAAATTATAAAGTTCTAAATGATTTTAGCTGAAAAGTGTAGAACAGTTGCGCAACCAGGAATGAAGCAGTGATACAAGTGGATGAGTCCCAAGAAACAGTAGTTATTTTAATGAATCAGGTAGTGTGTAATCGTGAACATTACATATTACAGCCTAAATCATCCCACTATTTGTGTAATTAGTATAACACTAGTATCTTTCATCAGTTTTTCAACAGGTAGGAAAAAAAAGCTATCAATGTCATATGGGTGGACTCTGGCTACATGGACTAATCGTTTACAATAGGAGGAAACAAAGCTACTTTATTATGGTCACTAAGAAATTTCATTCAAAGCCCCGAGAAAAAGTATGTATCTGGAGTATTTATTTATGCTTCAGATAAGAACGCTTAGAGGCTGTTAAACACTTACGACTGAGAGCAATAGTAATCCCGACAGCATCAAAGGTGATTGAAGCGACACGAAACTATTCAATGATTTTCTTAAAGAATCTTTTGCAACACGTACTAACCACTCAACATTTACTTGACAAGTAAATTTATAATTAAAAGTGAGGTGTGGAGAAAACAGAAACTCACAAGGTCTGAACCACCGATACCGATATTAACAACGTCTGTTATTTGCTTGCCTGTGTAGCCTTTCCACTCGCCAGATCTAACAGAATCGCAAAACTTAGACATGTGTTGAAGAACTGCGTTAACTCCCGGCATCACCTAGTTAAATGGTCATATAAAAGAACCATTACATCTTTCCCATCAACCATAATTGGAACGTTTGATCGGTTTCGCAGAGCTATATGGAGGACAGCTCTATCTTCCGTGAAATTAATTTTTCGCCCTTCCATCATGTCATCACGCATTTTTTCAACATTACTATCTTTAGCCTAAAATGGTAATAAGAAAAATATATGGATATACCAGTTTGATAAGCTGGTCAAAACTTTGAGTGTCAATTAAGTTTTTTGAGTAGTCCAACAGAATAGTACCGCCAGGAAGACTCAAAATTTGACTAGAATTGAGACAATGAGCACATATATAGCAGTAACCTGAATTCCGAAAATCTTTTGGGATTTGCAGCGAACATTTCTTTCATTGTTTGTGGGACTTTCTTGAAGTTCCGGAGAAAATCATGCAACGCCGACATCGCAATTATGAAAAGGCTACGTGACCCAGCCAACAAAGTACCGCAACTATTGAAAAAAGTGTAGTGAACCCAATAAAAGACCTGGGAATATATAAAGCAAATAATGACATATCTAAACAAGCATTGGTGATATGAGCAAAACAGGCTATTTATGAATAAGGAATGGCCAACAAATGGTTTTCGCAGCAAAATTGTATAATAAATACCAAAATGATGACAACAACTATACAATCCCAATCCCCTGATTTCGGGGTAAACTTTCATCAGTTTTTGGGGAATTTCGAGGAGCTTGGAATAAAACATTTTGGGGTTTTACGACAAGATGTCAGTTAATTTTCCGTTATATGGTATTTCTTCAGAATCTCAAGTCATTTTGGGACATCATCAAAACGTTTGGGGGAAATTTTCATATGACATTGGGGAAAGGCCTAAAGTTTCCCCTAAATCTCACAGAATTTCCCAGGAATTCGGTAACTGGGATAAATGTTACTTAGAAACACTTTTCGAGACAAGTGGAGTTCACTTGATTGGTTGACCTGACGGCATGAAGTGAAATATAAATCAGTTAGAGTCACTGAACAATTGTCGGGGTGATCAAACCCATGTAGTTAAGAGCAGCATAATAGGAGGGGTCCCAAACCCATTACTAGCCTGGTTTGATTCCTTCCTCAGCAATCGACATCAAATAGTTAAATTCACTTCTTCATTGTCGAATGCCGTCCCTGTCAGAAGTGAGGTAATTCAGGGTAGTGTCTTAGGTCCTTTGCTCTTTTTAGTTTTTATTAATGATATTTGTCAGTGTTTTAGTGTGGGTAAGTCCCGATCTTAAGGTGGTGTATTCATTTTCTCCACATGAGCTTAGCCATATTCAAAATTGTATCAGCACGGAGCTTGACAAGGTTAGGCTTGCCGTGATATATGCCATATATAAACTAGTTATCAATTAGTAAACCAGCAAACATAAAACTTTCTTATATTTCATGTTTGCTCTCTACATTAAATGTTGCTTTTTATATCAATGTGATCATGCCTGTAAACTGGTGTGAATTCTGTAAATATTATTTTCAGAATATATATATATATATATTATTATAAAAATAAAAAGTCAACTACACTGAGAATGGAGGGGAAGAGTAAGAGTAGACAAGGATAATAATGTTAAAAATAATATGGTGAAAACAATTTAACACCTAATCACTCTGGTTAATAAGCCTATATTACCAGGGTAGGTTTAAGGAGCGAACAGACTGTTTCTGGATGCACAAAGGGGGTTTGAATTTAGCTGTATGGCTAAGGCTTCAATAAACCTCAGTATATGCCCTTTTACACTTTTAAACAACACAACAAGCTCCGAGTTAACATCAATCTTATCACCTATTTCGATTATGTGTTTGGCAATAGAGGATGATGGATGTTTATCCTCTACTCTTATTGGGTCATTCGACTCTATTTGTTTTTGCAACCATTTTGGTACATAAATTCAATTAGTATTGTTTGTTTGAATCTTCCCATCGATGTGTTAGGACTGCAACTGGTCAGTCTCTAATTGATATATTTCCATACTGTGCGTATTGCCTCGATATAGCCTTGATTCACAAGCATGGTAAGCAAAGATGGATAGTGGCTAGCAGTGGAATCCAGCTTGATGCGCGTTCCGTACTATTTGGGACTCATCAGCTGGATGTCAGGGGACATGTTCACCCACCCTAATTTTCAGATCACGATTGCTCCTCCCTATGTATGTGTGACCACACACACATTTAAATTAGTAAACGCAGTGGGATGTGACACAATCGTTTTCATGTCGTCTAGGTTTTGAATGAAGCATGAACCTCGTTCTTTCTTTGATTATGACCTTCGCTGCACAATACGTTTTGCTGATGACAGATTTAAGCCTTTGTTTCAATGAAAGACTATTTGAATCACTTCTAAATGGTAAGGTAATGTAGACAAGCTTTTTCTGTATCAAGGCTACGGTAGGTCTCACTGTGCCCTGAACTTTCCATCTATTGATAAATTTACGGGGATAAGCATTCCCGATTAATGTCTTGGTGTAAAGCTAAACTGGTGGATATAGCACACCAATTCCATAATGTTAGACCTAAGCAGAGAAGCATATTAACTTCCTAACATTTTAAATCACTAAAAGAACTATGAACAAACACTGATATTGTCTTGTTGAAGCCTAATAAAAGATCAGGTGTGGTTATCATGAACAAGTGTGAATATAAGGGTAATATGTTATCCATCTTCAGTGATGAAAGTAAATTCATGCCTGATGCTGAATTTGAAGATATTAACAAACTAGAGTGAGGAGTAAATTCAAACGTGGAAAAATTGTTACACATGAATATTATTGACAAAGAGGAATTGAATTTCATAAAACCTATGGGTTCTGAGTATCCTCATTTATATCTGAACTACCCAAAATTCATAAATTAAATACTCCTTTACGTTCAATTTTATCAATGTGCCGATCACTCGCACATAACCTAGTCAAGTGACTAAGAAAATTATTGGATCCTCCTATTCAAAGACGTTTAAGTAAGTATTCTCTAAAGGATTCTTTTGAATTAGTCGATCATTTCCGTGACATTAATATCAAAGGAAAAACTGTGTGCTCATTTGACGTGGATTCCTTATTCACGTCAAAGACTATTGCCATTTTACGTGACTATATATCTTCAAACAACCTTAAATTACCTATTGCCTTAAAAATTTTTAAAGATTTATTACTTTATGTACTGATAAAGTTCAGTTCAGTTTTGAAGGTGTGACAATGGTCCACAGTTGAAGTCGAGGAAGCTCTAAGAAGCCCAGAATAAGCCAGACATATTCCATCCAATCAGCTTTGAGAAGAATATTCTAAAATGACTGCGTGTAGCTTCCCATTAGTCAGTGTTGATAACTCCCAGTGTGCCGATTGGATGGATAGCTATAATGATGATTTTGTTTCTACTAAAAACTATAAATACATGAAAGTTTTGTACCATAATAGACACTGTTTGGAATAACATTCCTTCTACTTGTCTACTGTCTTTTGATTTGTGACTTGTGAGGGTTCTAGCATTCGAGTGCTCAAGTATTGTGTGATAGACTAAGAAATATAAGTTCACGATACAATCTTCCGAAGATGCTGATATCAGAATCAGAATTTTGAGTAAAATTGAACAGTGTCCGAACATAACACTACAAGAAGTTACTACAGAGTGCCAAAGACGGTGAGACTAAACTATACTGCCGACCTTTGAACGAATCTTAAATGACCTTGAGAAATGCTAGCCAATCAGAAGACAGTTAGTACACAGTAGAAATATGCTATACAAAACTCAAAAATTAAAGGGTATACTGTTCTTTTACATGACTCAAAAACTTCTCAAGGTCAGATATAGGTTCAGAAGTTATAAAATCATAGTGCATACGGTACAGGAACACATCCATATGCTTCCATAGTAGTCGACCTCTGAAACCATGATAAGGTCTCAAAAATTCTTTTAGCCTTGACCACATAAGTTCAATGTTGTTGGTATATTGGTATGGTTGACGGTTTAGGGTTAATGTTAAGGTTTAGGGTTAAGATAAACTTGAAACATGATACTTATATGGCTGAAAATAATAGCCCTTTGCCTCATATTCATGGTCTAAGCGAAAAAAAAGATTTCTACCCGAGAAAAGTGTCGCTCACAGACAACCAGCCTCCATCTCCATGCTGGTCAGGTGGAGGTTGGCACTATCAGAGGTTCTGCCCGTATAAAGAACATAGATTAGCTGCAGCCGAAACAGAATTTGAGTTGGTGATGCTGACTTCCCATTCGAGCAGCCTCTCGGCATCTCCGCTGAGTATGATAATAAAGAAGGATGGAGACTAATGTTCTTGTGTTGATTATGGGATTCTGAACAACCTAGTAATAAGGGATAGATATTCCATCCCACAAATTTACGATGTTGTTGACGCATCTCGAGCCAATTTGAACAGAAGAGTAAGTATGCTATTAACATAAATCACTCACTTAATTCCATATATTACACCTTGGCTAACGGTATTTGAGTAACAGCGAAAATAATGAGCCGAATACGAGACAAGTTGGACGAGTTTATTTAACGCACTTGTTTGACCAGACAGATATGAAGATGCCAAACGCAAAAACAAGGTGAAGTGGACCGGAAAAGTCAAATGTGTCAGCATCACGTGATAAAGCGTGACCTGTCGTTTATGGTCAGTCAAGAATGAAAATAAATGAATAGCGTATAAACGAGGACAAGAACGAAAATTTCGCCGTAAGAACATGTGTACATTAATTAGGTTTTAAAAGCTAAGATACATTCATGTCATGACTGTCTTGGAGCTAAGATAATGCATTCGTATGAGCGTTTCAAAACAGGGTGAATACGGAGTAAATAACTGATCGTTGTTTAGGAGTTTGATAGTGAAACAACTCGAGGAAACAACCTATCCGTAATCATGACAGAGTAGGTAATTACGATAGTGTTCTGACAAGTCACAATAGATTAAGTAGGGTCGATTAGCGTTTAGTGGTCTTACATTTACACGGAATCGCGTTTTTGTACATATGATAAAGATGGTCGAGCAGTAAAGTGACAAATAGATCGGTGAATAATATCTACTGTTTCACTGAAATTAATGATAATTACAAAATTTGAGGTCAGTATATGTTGTCGTCGGTATTACGACCAGATCCAGTTAGTCGGCGTGGCTTGTCTCGTCCGAGAGAGATGCACTCTACCTTGTTTGTTGAGAAGCCGTACTAAGATATCCAATTACTAATACATATCATCACAAATGATTAATTAATGAGACCAACTTTATTATGGCGATCCTGAATTTACTACTGAGATAACAGCTCTAAACTTTATGTTCCACTCTGCAATGAAATGAAATAATTACTGTAATCGAGCGATATTTAGGAGCAATGAAGGTGGCATGCTGCTATGTATATGTAGGCAAATAGATAATATGAACATATTGTTTGTCAATTGGCTAGAAACGCGGTACCTACAACCTGATGCATGTATGGAAATTATGGCGAACCTCACCAAATAGATA